CAAACACACAATAATCATGCACAAGTTACGTCAAAAAGGTGTTAGAGCATAAAATTTTATCAAATATACGAGGACCAGGGTTCTACTTCTACATGTAGTCGGCTCTCATGTTGAAGAAAGTTTTTGAAGCGATAGTGACGGCAACTGGATATTCAAAATGATGATTTGTTCAGATGACTCATAACATCCACAAATACGAGATATTCCGACGGGATGTGTCAAAACAGTATGATATTTGCACAAAAAAAAGAGGAAATTTTATTTTTTAGAAAGACTAATTGATGGGACAAAAGCATTCTCAACAAATGCATTGACAAGCCTCTATAATGAAAATTTAGAGTTTTACATCAATACTAAGAAGAGGGAAATGAAAGAGTCAAAGCATTGAACAAAAATTCAGTTAGGAATAACTTCAGCGCTATTTTCCTTAGACATGCTAGTTTGTTTTCACAAGCTTACGGTTTTTTTCTCAAAACAGTTATAATTACAACTGCTCTGATTGGGTACATTATGAAACATATTTTAAAAAAACATATAAAATTGTATAGTTTGACAAATACAGGAAGTTTTCAAGTAAAACGAAAGACGGTAAGGACAGATATGGTGTATGCGTGACACAGATGATATCCTCTGGGTACGTGTACCCAGTGAAGAAATATAAGCAAGATAAGATTGACTATATTCTTCATAATGTGTCAAATAATAAACATCCATTCCTCTTTCTCAATCCATTATCATCCTTCAATTGAATCCCAAAACATGTGAGCATCATTGAATCATTTCATTTTATAAGATCAGGATGTTTTCTCGATTAGAACTTTTAACAAAGAGGAAGTGGGAAGTTCTTGGAAGTTTAACCATGTTGAGACTTTCTCAAGTAATCTTGAAGCAGGAAGGGTGCATAATGCTAAACATATCCTAATATGTTTATTTGTGATGATGATGTTCGCAAGCACGAACAAATTATTCCGTATACTTTGCAGATAACAACGTTGTGTTGTTTTCTCTGATAGACTTCATTTACAACCATTCGATGCAACCAGAGCTCACGCGATTTTGTTGCCTAGGCCCTAATTTGATCGAAGCGTGGGAAGTCAATTAGTCGACTCTGAGGGGTAGTTGTGGAAGAATTTCAACTCTTCCACTATGAAAACAAACATATCTTCCTGTTCAAATTTCTAGTTTTTTGTACATCGGTTGATATTACGGGATTTTCGGATAGTTTAGGCAATTCACTAGGATTTGAGCTTTTCGTTTTGAG